GATATATATCTATATATATCTATATACTCTCTCTCTCTCTATATATATATATATCCATCCATCCATCCATCCATCTATATATAGACACACACCACACACACACACTGATAACTCTACTAGTAAGTAAAATTACTTTAGTTTTCAGAGAGATTATAGTAGTACATCTAATTATACAGCAATTCACAACAGTTACACAAGAGTTCAGATAATGTATCAGCTTGTGAGCAGAATCACAAACATTTCCTACGTTTTTTTAATCTGATTTTTATTATGTCATTATTAGATGTGTTTATGAACATGATCATCAGGGTGGACTAAAACCTATATTGCCATCATTACGAACACATAAAACAGCAAGAAAATGCTTGTTTTAGGTTTCAGTGCATTTGAAAGTATTTTACTTCACTTCCTTCATAAGGAGGAATTACAGTTCGGTCATTTACAATTAATGCTATAGATGAATTCACATCATAAATCAATTGCAAATTAATCATTAAAAAACACCACCTGTTATGGAGCTTTTAAAAAGATTTTTAAACAAATAAAAATAACAAAATAATTATATGGGGGAAAAAAATAATGTATTTAATAAAAATATTGAAACCAGTTTCCAGACAAAGGTTTAAAAATCTTCAGCGGTCTAAAACGGTCTGACTGACTTGTAGCTGATCATTAAAATTAAATGTTTCCTGTAGCTGATGCACTTATTGGGAGAGACTATATTTTTTTATTTCAGCCAGTGGCGTTTTCAGTTTGGCTGATTGTTGACTCCTAAGGTGAATTATTGTTCCAGTAAAGTGGATTCAATTCTGAAATGAGCTGGCTGAACAAAGTGTCTGTCACTTTGAAGTAAGGGGTGGGGTTGTGAAAGTAATATAGTCACATAAGTCCTTTAAATATACAGTACTAAAAAAAGTAATACTATCAGTTCTGTAAAAGTATTAATTTATTACATTTTCTGACTAACATGCCCAACATTGAAGATGAAACAGGCTGGAAAAATCAGAACCGCTGCTTTAAAGGCAACTGGGCAAATCCAACACATCAGCTGTCCAATTGTGTGAAATCAAAGGTTGTGTAAAGACTTGTGATTTGACCAAAATAACACATACAGTATGAGCAGTTTAAGAATCAATTGTTCACGTTTTACATATAATTAGATATATTCAAGACCAGGAGAGTCCATTCAATTACAAGTAAATTGTGTTGTTGGGTGATAAGGCAATGAATTTAGTTTGTAAATCACATTTGAAAACACTAGTTGACCATAGTGCTGTACAACAGACATGAAATACTTTGCTTTTGGTATGACGTGTATTAAAATGTCACAGTTCCCAGAAAACCACCAAATAATGTGTCACAAAATAAAAATAATAATAAATAAAATAAATAATAAAATCTGAAGCATCTCTGAAGCTTCATTTACTTCCGCTGCTCTCTCCAGCACACTTGTGGTTTTTGAGATGAGCGGGTTGAGTGAAAGTTTTATCACAAATGCTGCAACTAAACGGTTTCTCCCCTGTGTGGATTCTCATGTGTCTGGACAAATTGCTTTTGTCACGGAATCTTGTTTTACAAACTGAGCAGCTGAAGGGTTTTTCTCCTGTATGAACTCTTATGTGTGAGGTCAAAGTTGAGTTTTGTGCAAATCTACTACCACAGACAGAACAACTGAAGGGTTTCTCACCTGTGTGGACAGTCAAGTGATGTTTCAGATGTGGCTTTTGTGAAAATGTTTTACCACAGACAGAACAACTGAACGGTTTCTCCCCTGTGTGGACAGTCAAGTGTTGTTTCAGATGTGGTTTTTGTGAAAATGTTTTACCACAGACAGAACAACTAAATGGCTTCTCCTGTGTGTGGATTCTCTCGTGTGTGGACAAATGGCTTCTGCAGCTAAAACTTACTTTACAAACTGAGCAGATGAAACATTTTCGTTCTGAATGAAGCCTCATATGACTCCTTAAGGACTTCTTCCCGAAGTATCTTTTACCACAAACTGAGCAACAAAATGCTTCCTCTCCTATTTGGAGTCCATTGTGTTTCTGCAGACGTCCCTTGTGTCCAAAGCTTGTAGCACATTCAGAGGAGCTACTTGATGTTTTTCCATTATTACATACCCGATCACTTACAGGTACTTCAGCTGGTTCTGGTCCTCCACTGTCCTCTCCATCAGCTTTTGTTTTCATCTGGTCAGTTTGGCTTTGATGAAGCTTTGAGGACTGACGACCAACACACTGATGGTGTTTGAGCTGATAAAGCCAAGAGAATTTTTTGCCACAAACACGGCAGCTGTATCGTTTCTCCCTCGTGTGGATTGCCTTGTGTTCTGCCAGATGTACCTTCTGATTAAATCTTTTTCTGCAAACTGAACAACTAAATGGTTTCTCTCCAGTGTGAATTCTCATGTGTCTCTTCACATTTGAGTTTTGGCTGAATAGTTTACCACACTCCGAGCAGTGAAATGATTTCTCACAAGTGTTACATTCACTGTTATTTTGCAGAGGGTTTGAACCTGACTGAGGTCCCCTGGTCTCCTCCCAATCACAACACTCTTCAGTCTGAGGTTCAGAGGAGTGTGAAGCCTTGTCATGAGTATCAGGTTGTAAATGTCTCTCTGGATCTGACTTCCTGGCTGGTTCTGGTCCTCCACAGTCCTCTCTATCAGCTTTTGTTTCCATCTGGTCAAATCTTTGATGAAGCTGTGAGGACTGAGGTTTCTCTTCATCGTCTTCTTCACTCTTCACAGAGACAAGAGTGAATGTGAACTTGGTGCTATCAGCCTCCTCCAGCTGCTTTCCCTCCTGACTGGTCCAGAGTTCCTCCTGCTCCTCTTTAATGTGTGGGGGCTCTGGTGGGTCCTCCTGGTCCAGCCCGGGGCTCCACTCCTCTTTAATGTGTGGGGGCTCTGGTGGGTCCTCCTGGTCCAGCCCGGGGCTCCACTCCTCTTTAATGTGTGGGGGCTCTGGTGGGTCCTCCTGGTCCAGCCCGGGGCTCCACTCCTGCTGTTCAGTGGGAACCTCTTCTTTACTCACTAACAGCAGCTGGACATCTGTGGAGAATAATGAAATACATACTCGTTTAAGAAAAATGTAACTTCCTGTCACATTTAAACCACTGACACCACTACTTTCTTTAACGTGTGGAAAATAATGCACTTTTGGTAAAACATATTTGGAACTAAGGCACTGAATATACTCGTCACTTCCAACAAGCGACTTTACCAGCTTCATTGTCTGTACTGTAAATCTCAGAATACAAAGGTGGGGAGAGTCAGCAGCTTCAGGGTCATCTGGGTCCACATCAGTGAATAAGTCATTATCCCTGCCCCATCATTAGGACTGACTATAAATTACATTTGTGTATTCCATTAAATTAATGTATTGATTTTATGTATTCTATTATTATATGACAACGTTAGCCTTAATATTTTAGCTACAGCAGCTGAGTCAGCTTTTTGATATTAAAAGCTGCGAGACCTGAATAAGTGGATGTTCAACTCACTTTCAAGAACTTTTATCACTCCAAAAATTTTATTTATTTAACACACTGTAAAGTGTTTTTCGTAACTTCAAACAACAACAAAACAAAAACTCAATTCATGCCATGCTCATATAGTGATGTAAAACAGTGCCTCAACCACGGCTTCATTTGCTAAAAACATTACACCTTACTGAAGCTACTGTGCCCTCGGCCAGCGATGGATGTGGATTCTGCCGTATTTCAGCAGGAGCCTTGGCAATGCATGTCCATGAATTTGGAGTGAGGAACTTCTGAAGGAGCAGTGATAGCAGTATTAGCTAGGCTCCTTACATGCTTGCTAACTTTTTTTAAGGTGGGACATTGACAGCATTGTGTTGCAACGATTTGTGCAGTAGTGTTAATGGGAGAGAGGGGAGGTGCTGAGCGATAAACAATAATATTGTGGCGGGCCACAAATAAATCAATGCATGGGAAATTACTACAAAAACTGACTGACTATCTAGTCTACACCGGCCTACCACACAGCCCTACAGAGGCACGTAGAAAAGGTTTTAGACTGTCCAGCCAAATATCTCATAGGTAAATTAGTGGTAATGCATTAATGTAAAGTCTTCCTAGGAAGAAATTTTTATGGATAACAACCATGACCACTGATCTGACCTATGACGCAAAAAATGAAGATGCTGGGGCCAGTTGCACAATAAAAAACAACCAAAAGTATGACTCTTAAGTCTTAATTTCTCATTTCTCCTTAGCTAAGGATTGTGTTGCACAGAATCCCTTTAAATGTTTCCTTAGTTAAGGAAAATCATTAAGGTGTTTGCTATCAGGTGTTAGATATTAGAATTTACAGTAGTAAAATTCTACTCCTACCATGGAGACTGTTTGCTTGCACCAGCAAAGTTGGAAAGAGAGGAGACATTTGTCTGAGAAAGAAAAACTGTTTTGCTGTTTGCTGGCTGTTTTGCTCATCATTTAGCTGATCCATTGGATTCTCCCGGTCGCAGAACACTCGTCTCAGGATATGTAAAATTTTGTCATTTATCGCCATAAACTCAACCATGTTCCGGTTAAGATAAAGCCAGAGGTACCTTAAATTATTTTCCTTAGTTTGGTTGCTGAGGTCCTTTGTGCAACGGTTTAACACACTTAAGGGATTCCTCAGGTATAAGCCCAAGATGAGGAGAAAACCTCAACTACTTAAGTGAACATTTTAAGGAAACCTTCATGACTTCTTGAATATGCCATAAGACTGAAGAAGGGCACCATATCTCTCGTCATCAGCTGTATGCAACGACTGGTTCCTATCTACCCAGCTTTCGTCCTGCACCCACAGAGAAAAATAACAGGATCAATGATTGTCTGAGAGACGGAGAGGTCGGTCTGTGTCTGTGACCTGTACCTCACCTGTTATCTACTTTGAGCCCCCTTAGGAAAGAGTCTTCACATGTATGTTGTAGGGAGCCAAGAGCTTCATTGCCATCGACTGCTTCCCTGTGATTGTTGTTCTGCATATAAAAGAACTTGACCTCTTTTAGTAGCAGCTCTTTTCCACCGGTGGAATTTAACTAAGACCATTTACCAAAGTACAGTACAAATCTGAGGTGAACGTTAGTGATGAACTGCAGAATGAAGAGTTGCTTTATGGGCTAATAAAATCCTCCCACTGCTAAAGTATTTTTGGATCAGCTGGAAAATGCATCTCCACAAAGCTGAAAACAGGCTGCTTTGAAAGCAGGACTTGTATTTGCAGTGGAGTATTTTCACAGAGTGGTATTAGTACTTTTACTGCAGTAAAGGGTGAAATGTCCAAACCTGCTTGAGGCTTGAAAACAGCGTCCAGTAGTTTGCGTTGTCCACAAAGTTCCTCCTCGTACTCTGCTATCGTTCTTTCAAACAGCTCAAATATCTCTTCAGCAGCCGCACTTAGTCGCTGCTGGACAAAAGCTCTCAGCGTTTGGACTTTAGACATGTTTACAGCAGCTTTTCCTCCAGACACACTCCGTTACAGACACGCAGCTCGGCTCCGTCTACGACCTGGGTTCAAACCACTTGTACTCAGCTAACTTCCTTTAGCATTCTTGGCTAACAGGAGATGAATCTGGTGAAACATCCCGAAAGTTTACACAGATTCCACTTAAACAAGTTTATCTTCACATACAGGCTCTGCTGCTGAACTCCTGCTGATCTATCTGTTAGCATGCAAACAGCAAAGTTAGCGTGTTAGCCACCGGAAGTACACCCGCTTCCGGTACCACTTCTTTGCTGATTTTCAAAATAAAAATAACAAAAGCCCCAAGTCTCTCTGCTGACAATTAACATTTGGTAGAAATACTCAGAAATATAGAAATATCACAAAGTAATGTCAACAGCCCAAAAGCATAATGTCAGCAAAACTTTATTATTATTGTACATACTAATTCATTTATGTTAATCCTGACAACAAGTTTAATTCCTGACTTTTCTGAAGAGACAGATTATAATGGTACATTTGATTTATACAGCACTTTACAAACCAGTTCCATAAGAGTTACTTTGCAAAGTAAAGTAACATTATCCTCTGAATAACAATGGCCTGTTCCCAAAAGCAGAGAGGAACAACTGTACTTTTTTCTTTATTACGTTTATCTAATAGATCCCAGTTCTGGTTACTTTGCAGATTCAGACTCATAATACAAATATGAACAAATCAGTTACCCCTGTCCAAGAGGTACTGGTCCAGCTCTCCATGTTAAAACGTCCAATCCTCCAGGCCTATAGATATTACTCTATTAGGTATAACTGAGGACTGTTTAAGCTGGTGTTCGCCTAGCTTCTAACTTTCTTCTTGTGGATGCACTAGTGACATTTTACAGATGAGCCCATGCAGAAATTGCCACTGCTGGAGAGAGTCTGAAGTCTTCATAGGTCCAAAGGTTTGGACCCGGTCTAAAACAGACCTCAGGTAAATCAGTCTCTTGACCTGATGGTAACTGGAGAAAACACATTGTGAAGGTCAGGGGAAGTTAATCTGAGGTTCAGCAGTCTGAGTTCGACTAATCAAGTGGAGATCTTCCAAACCTAGGCTGTTTTTAACAAAGCCACATCTTTATTTCCACACACATTGTTTCCTTGCTGAGGGATATGTCTCGGATTCACTTGGAGGTTTGTTGACGCAACAAACCGTCAAACAATTTTACAATCAATTCAACAGCTGCTCTTTTAATAAACAAGATTATTATGGTGTCTAAACTACGTAACGTGTTATCATGCGCAATGAGTGAATGAGTCTACAGACACACGACACATACAGTAGCAGAACAAGAGTAGGTTACACTGACAACTTCAGTAATACAGTGTTAATGATCATGATCGTCTGGAATTCTACCATGTTTTATCATTAAACCGGCAACTATTTCATCCCTAAATCTGACAGAGGTTTTCTGGTGTCCTTCAACAACTGTCATTAGTGTCAGAAGAATTACAAGTCATGAACCACTCTATCTGGATCTGAGGTCCTGGCTGGTTCTGGTCCTCCACTGTCCTCTCCATCAATTTCTGTTTCCATCTGTTCAGTTAGTCTTTGATGAAGCTGTGAGGACTGAGGTTTCTCTTCATCGTCTTCTTCACTCTTCACAGAGACAAGAGTGAATGTGAACTTGGTGATATCAGCCTCCTCCAGCCCTCGAAGCTGCTCTCCCTCCTGACTGATCCAGAGTTCCTCCACTTCCTCTTTAATGTGTGGGGGCTCTGGTGGGTTGTCCTGGTTCAGACTGGGGCTCCACTCCTCTTTAATGTGTGGGGACTCTGGTGGGTCCTCCTGGTTCAGACTGGGGCTCCACTCCTCTTTAATGTGTCGGGACTCTGGTGGGTCCTCCTGGTTCAGACTGGGGCTCCTCTTCTGCTGTTTAGAGGGAACCTCTTCATTACTCTCCAACAGCAGCTGGACATCTGTGGAGAATAATGAAATACATACACGCATTTTAGAAAACTATAACTTCTTCCTGTAACTTTTTTATGACTCAAATTGTAAAACACAGAGTTCAGAAAGAGCACAGAAATTTGAAGGGGAACAATCAGAATCTGGTGAAAATTTAAACAGATTTCACAGGGCCCTATAGAAACTATATTCCTGACATCAAAATACTTATTTTTAGAAAGAATGAAGATTTTAGACATCAGTCCTTCCTTTGGCCGCTATGTCTCAGCTAGCAGCTCAGTTTACACCAATGTGACACAGATAATAGCTCTCTGTGAACTGGATTAGTTCCGCTCTACATCCCACATGGAGCATTTCAGAATTGCATTTTGCCTGGCTGATTTTGCTGACTTGTTCAGATTTTGTAGATTTATTCAGTTGTCCATGATTTTTGTGCCACGTAGTTAAATTGTTTATTTTTTTGTCTGTGTTTATTGTTCATATACGATCAGGAGTCTGTAAGTGCAGAAAGTGGGACTGGGCATTAGGATGCAAAATATAGTGCAAGGGACACAGGTGCATACAGGAGTTTCCCCTAAAGAGTATTACATTTTCTTTTAGGTTTAAAGGCTCATGATGAGAGCTGGGATTCCTTAATACAAATGAATGCACGGTCACATCAGTTAAAGGATCAGTGTTAAATTTACAGAGCTCTATTTGCTCAACTGACAGAAATGTTTTTATTAGTCTATAATCACCTGAAAATAAGAATCTTTGTGTTTCCATAACATTAGACTTGCCTACAGAGAGAGCAGCTCCTCTTCCACAGACTCGAACATGTTTAACCATCATGCTTCTAGAGTAATCCAGAAAGGACAAACCAAATGCTGACCCTAGATAAGGCCTGTTATGAGTTTCACAGGCACCGTAGTTTCTTCTTCATGCTTGGAAGGGAAACCTGAGGCGAGTGATACTCAGTTTCACAATTTCAATGTTAGATGTCACTACATTCTACAACACTGCTCATTTAAAGCTTTTGCTGATCCTATTGGAGAAGAAAGGGAAAAAAAGACCAATAAAGAAAAGTAGCAAGAATGTTTTTGCGTATGCTGTCAACCACAGTTCTTACAAAAACAAATACGGAGCATTCAGAAACAATTTGAAACAGCGTTTTTGTCATTATGCATATTTGGTATACGTTAGAAACGTTAGAGTTTTATGAAGTTCTTAAGAAGAGTTGAATATCTCAAAGTATCTCTGCCATGGACGTGCTCTTTCAGTGTTATTAATGCTGTAGGTGAAACCAATGTGAGACGCACATTTTTAACAAGCATCGAAAAAGCGCAGGGAGTTATCACATCGCCCCCCGTGAGCAGGCACTGCACTAATTCTGGCATGCGTAAAGCACATTAAGTGCTACTTGCTACAGTAACCGCCAATCAATCCCTCCCTGTCTATGTGTTTTTAAATATGCAGGAGCAAACTGCACATTCATGGAAAATCTAATGAAAATATTCATTTTAAAATCTTTAAAATGTTATAACAAGAAAATCTATTTGTTTTCTTGCCCGGGCCAGTAAAAATCTGATCTACTGGCCCTTAGGGCCCTTAGGGCCAGTGGGTAAACATGTTATGTTGGACATTGCATAATAGCACCTGGGGGCTGTGTTGGGGTTGAGGCAGGTTTGAGATTTGTGGGGTCATACGTAAGGTAAATCCTACCCGAGTGGCAGCAGAATCCTTTCCTGTCCTCTTCCCATACAAAGGCACCACAATGTGAGCAATTCGGATACTGAAACAGTGACATCGTGCTCATCGTCTGCCTGTAATCACCACGAAGATCCCCTTTGAAGAAGTCAGTATCTTCATACCGTGCAAGGTTGCGCTGGTCATGGAGCGTCTGCTCCAGTCGCGCACGGTGCACTTGTTGATGGAGCCTGGCGTCCCTTGGCTGGCGTTTCATTCTGACCTCCAGTGTTTCTCCTGCCCTGACCTTCTTATGGCGCACTGCTCGCATCTCAGGCGTTTCTTTGGCCCTGACTTCTTGATGGCGCACAGCGTCCTTTGCCTGGCGTGCCGCTCGCATCTCCACCGTTTCTTTGGCCCTGACCTTCCGTTGGCGCACAGCGTTGTTTGCCCGGCGAGCCGCTCGCATCTCTGGCGTTTCCTCCGCCCTCTTCTTAGCTATGCGCGCCCGATTCCGAGCCAGGCGCTCATGCCGTGCTTCATCCGACTCTGCTGCACGTGCGCGGCGGTTTGCCTCGCGCATCCGCTCCCGCCTGGCACGGCTATCTTTAGGCATGCTAGCTGCTCAGTCAGGGTGTAGCGTTCAGAATCCTGCATCAGGATAGAAAAGACGACAATCAATACATGTATGCTGCTTTGTCTACACAGGTACAAAACTGCTGATACATGAGGATCCTTCTTCAAAATTATAAACAAAATGACATCATGGTAACATTTAACATGCAGTGAGAACTAAACTATACTTAAAAATGAAATACGTGTATTTGAAATATTACAGAACTTTTCAGGGAAAGTAGTAATGATCCAACCGAGTAGGTAGTAATGACATGCGGCTAGTTTCGAAAGCTCCGTGTGAAGCCTTGTGTCTCTCAGCTGGAGAGCAAATTTAGGCAGATGTTTCATTGTTTGAATTAAGTCAAAATCACCAAACATGAAGATGCAGTTTGCAGCACTAAGAACTGAATGTCTGCCCAACCCTCCTGTTACTGTAGGAGGAGTTAGGGACTGTCTGAAAAGAGCAACATGATCCATTTCAATCATCAATGACTCAAACTCACTGCCAACATAGATAGTGAGCAGTCTTAAACATTTCACACCTGAGAGTTTGTAAAGAAAAGTTAACAAAGTTAATAATTATAATAAATTAGTAATTAATTTATCCATTAAATATGCACAGCGTGCTCATTTATTGACATATAAAAGATCAATAAATATAATACATATTGTAACATTAAACCACCTCTCATCTGTGCTGGACATCTTCTCACAATGTTCACAGTAGTTGTTTGTCAAAGGAGTCTATGTTGAAGTAGATTTATTGTTTTGTCTTTGTTTTTACGGTGGTACCGAATTGATATTGTGGAATTTTACTGGTGTCCACAACTAAATTTCTGGTATTGTGACTTGAGATTCAGCAAAAATCTGTGGTGATGATCAATGTGCAAAGAAAATAGTCTGGAAAAGACCTTAAGAGGTGGATGCATTATTCAGCAAAACAGATTTTTAGCATCCTTTTGTTCATGCACGTCATCCCTCAGTGAGCTGCAGCACAACTCGGTAACGTTACACCACCGCTGTCTGAGGTGTGCAGCTCTAACTGCCTTCACTCTCCAACAGACAGACTTTTATTAACGGACACACTGCGACCTCCATTTACTGACAACTTACTGCGCCTCTGCCGCTTGTCACGCACAGAATGCGGAGGGGAAGCTGGCCACGGAAAATCATTTGCTGCGTCTTGATATTAAAGATCGGCGGTCACTGATTCAGGACCACGTCTGTGTTTATGTGCACGCTGTACTTCTGCAGGCTCTGGTGTTTACTCCGGGTGTATTTTATGCAAAAGACAAGCGCAACGTAGCTGAAAAACCCAGGAAGTAAATTTGCTTCCGGTACTATTTATTTGCGGGTTTTCAAAATACAAGTAATAATTTCTCAACATAATTTCGTTAAGAATGAAGGATTGTAGAAAAATTGTTCCTAAAGTACATACAGAAATGCCACAAAGGAAAGTAAAAGTAAAGAGTCCATAAGTATAATTTCAGCAACATTATAGTGCATAATAATGTTTTAATATTGACAAATCTAAGTGTACTTACTTAGTTTTCTGAAGGCAGATTATAAAAGTACTTTTGATTTATGACAGTTACAGGAGTTACTTTACAAAGTAAAAATAACAACAGCAATCAGAACAACTCTAAACACAGCAATCATAAATCCAATGTCTTATAATCAAATGGAAGTCGTAAATTAAAATGAATTAACAGTGAATTAAACAATAATTGTGAGTGTGATGAGCTCTTGGTGGTAAAAACTGTAACCTTCCTGCAGTGTTTTAAAAGTCACCTCTGAAGCAGCTGCTGGAGAAACTGCAGCTACAGGAAGTAATGAGCGAGTGTTTTTCAACCAAACAGAGCAGAAACAGAAACAGAAACAGGCTCGTCTGAATAAAAGTGGCCTGTTTCAAAAACCAAACGTTACTGTTGGTAAAATATCCAGATACGTTTGATGAGGAAAGATCAGTCAATGTACCAGGTTTTAGAGGGGGTCACACTAAATGAGCCCTAAATGAAGTTACCACAGATTAATTACCATCACACAGTGAGTAGAGTGGGAGAAACATTGTCAATACACAGCTCAGTTCTGCCAATAAAAAGCCCTGGAGAGATTTAATCCTGCCCTGATGAATTGGTTGCATAAGTATTAATGTATCATAATAATAATCCAATAATCTAGTAATAACATTAAGAAAGTGGTGCATTATTACATTTATTAATTTAGCTGACACTTTTATCCAAAGCAACTTACAATTGCTATACATGTCAGTGGTCGCAGGATCATTTTACATCGATGGCGCTTGGTACTCAAACACAGTCAAAATGGAGAGTTTTCTAAATGTCAGACTTTATGTGAAGATGAAACCATACGATCATCTAAATTCTTATGTAGTACTACTCACACTGGTATACAATTTCTACACTCCTTTTGCCAGATTGAATTTAACTAAAATAAATAAAATAGAATTTCAAAAGTAATCCAGACCTATAAAGTGTTGAACAGCATTTATTTAATTGTCAAATTTATTGATTAAGGATGTACTTTATGACAGATTGGCTTTTGCAGGAGTCATCCACCCTTATTTCACACAGCTACTTGGGACTGGGCTCATTGAGACTCAGTTCTTTTTCATAACCAAACGCCTAGAGCACCTAAGTAGATCAACTGAGTCCTCCTACCCAACAGAATTAAGAAAGCTTTGTACGTTCATCTCTTATGTGTAAAACTCTCTCAACAATCAACAAACTGAACTGCAAATAACTAGAATATCTGCTGTTGGGGTCTGCTTCAGATCACCTCCCTATAGATTAAAGGCAACTGGAAGGGGACATCGGCAATTACTCATATTAAACACTGTAGCCACACGACCTCATACAGCTGTTGGACAGCACTTTGTGTACGAACATTTCTATGAGACACAAGTACACAGAAGTGCTAATAAACAGTATAAACTAGAGCTTTGACAAACTGTTGATACACCAACAGCAATCTTGGACCACAAAGTCGGGGTAGTGCGGTTCTTCCGACTTCCGAAGTCGGATTACTTTTTAAGGGGCCGTTCCCTTTGAAATTTTGACCTTTGAACTCGGAAATTCTGACTTCCCATGTCAAATGGAACGCACCATTATAAAGGATTACAAATGATACATCAACACACTTATTAAAGCATTACACATTTTTACAGATGTCCCGATCCTATCTGAAAGATCATGATCTGGGCCAATCAAGGAATTTTTTAACCAATCGGTATCAGCTTTATTGGGCCTTATAGTTCCTTTTTTTTTTGTCAAGGAAGCCATCTACACCAGGGTTGAGAAGCCGTCATTGAACAGGGGAGGGGGTCTACGCCACCACTTATCCCCCACTTACAATGCTGTCCTTTCATCACTTCCCAGGAAACTCAACAAACGTAACCTATTGGCCTCAGGTGAAGATACCAACGATGGTCGTTCAGTCTTGGCCACAGGTAGTCTCAACGACTGTAACGACTGTCGTCACAGCAACAAGGAACACTAACGAACCAGCGGTATCGATGACCCGAGATAACGACCCCACTGAGGTTAAATAGCTGAGTTTCCCTGCCAGTCAGTCAGAACTGAAGAAGTCCTTTGGATGAGGGACGAAACGTCTTCCAGTAGCTTCAACCAAGTCCAGTTGCCCTTCATTTTAACCTTCGTTGGATAACTATGACCTGGATGACTGAGAATCTTCATAGACAACGTTAGCTAACTTGTATCTTAGCATACTGTCATTACAGTTGCAGCTGCAAAAGCGAACTTAAAGCCAACATGCTGAGAGGACGAGATTTCAAGAGCCGGCACATCAGACCATAAATGGCTGAGTACACCGGATCTGTTTTCATCGTTCACACACAGAACGGACAGCTAACGGATCATGAGGAGATATTAACTAAATCTGTCAAAAAGACATGTATTGTATTACAATAACTTACTCCACCTTTAATGAACTAAGAAAGAAATAATGTTTAGATTTACGGATTAAGAAACAACTGTTAAGTGCAGCCCTGCTTTCATGTGTCGCCTCAGTTCTTGCTTTAGTGTGAATCCTTTGCCACAGACAGAACAACTAAAGGGGTTTTCCACAGTGTGGCTTCTCTCGTGTATGGACACACTGCTTTCGGTAATGAAAGTCTGATTACAAATTGAGCATCTGTAAAACTGTGTTTCTGAATGAAGTCTCATATGTTTCTTTAAGGTGTTCTCCAGAACATATGTTTTACCACATACTGAGCAACGAAATGGTTTCTCTTCTGTTTGGGGTTTGTGGCCAGAGCTTGTTGCACATTCAGAGGAGCTACTTGGTGTTTTTACAGTACTACATTCCTGATCACTTACAGGTACTTCATTGGGTTTGTGGCCAGAGCTTGTAGCACATTCAGAGGAGCTACTTGGTGTTTTTACAGTACTACATTCCTGATCACTTACAGGTACTTCATTGTTTTGTGAAGGCTTTGAACCTGACTGAGGTTTCCTTGTCTCCTCCAAAACAACACACTGATGGCTATTGAGCTGGGACCACCTAGAGAATCTTTTGCCACAAACACTGCAGCCGTATCCTTTGTTCCTGTTTTTGTGGTCTTCCATGTGCTTCCCAAGATCTCCTCTGCATGGAAAAGTTTCTTTACAAACTGAGCAGCTAAAACGCTTTTCTCCTGAATGAAGTCTCATATGAGTCATAAAAACCTTCTCCAAGCTGTACCTTTTACCACAATCTGGGCAACAAAATGGCTTTTCCGCTGTGTGGCTTCTCTTGTGTCTGGACAAAACGCTTTCAGAAATAAAATTTCTTTCACAAACTGAGCAGCTGTAAATGATTTTTACTGAATGACATCTCATATGACAGGTTAAATTGTTCTTCCGGAGGTAGGTTTTACCACAAACTGAGCAACTCAACGGTTTCACTCCTGTTTGGAGTCCATTGTGGCCAGAGCTTGTTGCACATTCAGAGGAGCTACTTGATGTTGTTCCAGTACTACATTCCTGATCACGTCCAGGTACCTCATTGTTTTGCAGAGGGTTTGAACCTGACTGAGGTTCCCTGGTCTCCTCCCAATCACAACTGTCATCAGTCTTAGGTTCAGAGTGGGACATCTTGTCATCAACCTCAGGTTGAAAATGTCCATCTGGATCAGAGTTCCTGGTTGGTTCTGGTCCTCCACAGTCCTCTCCATCAGTTTCTGTTTCCATCTGGTCAGTTAGTCTTTGATGAAGCTGTGAGGACTGAGGTTTTTCTTCATCATCATCTTCACTCTTCATAGGCACAGGAGTGAAAGGGGACTTGATGATTTCAGCCTCCTCCAGCCCTCGAATCTGGTCTCCCTCCTGACTGGTCCAGAGTTCATCCTGTTCCTCTTTAATGTGTGGGGGCTCTGGTGGGTCCTCCTGGTCCATGCTGGGGCTCCACTTTCTTTTAATGTGTGTGGGCTCTGGTAGGTCATCTTCTTGGTCCATGCTAGAGCTCCACTTTCTTTTAATGTGTAGAGGCTCTGGTGGGTCCTCTTGGTCCATGCTGGGGCTCCAGTTCTCTTTTATGTGTGGGAGCTCTGGTGTTTGAAGTCCATTGTGTTCCTGCAGAGGTACTTCATTGCTTTGCAGAGGGTTTGAACCTGACTGAGGCTCCCTGGTCTCCTCCCAATCACAACTGTCATCAGTCTTAGGTTCAGAGTGGGACATCTTGTCATCAACCTCAGGTTGAAAATGTCCATCTGGATCTGAGTTCCTGGCTGGTTCTGGTCCTCCACAGTCATCTCCATTAGTTTTTGTTTCCATCTGGTCAGTTAGTCTTTGATGAAGCTGTGAGGACTGAGGTTTTTCTTCATCATCTTCTTCACTCTTCATAGGCACAGGAGTGAAAGGGGACTTGATGATTTCAGCCTCCTCCAGCCCTCGAATCTGCTCTCCCTCCTGACTGGTCCAGAGTTCCTCCTGTTCGTCTTTAATGTGTGTGGGCTCTGGTGGGTCCTCCTGGTCCATGGTGGGCCTCAACTCCTGCTGTTCAGGGGGAACCTCTTCTTTACTCACCAGCAGCTGGACGTCTGGAGAATAATGAAACGCATACACATTTTAGAAAAACTTCCTGTTAACATTTAAACCACTGTCACCACTACTTTCCTAAATGTGTGGAGAAAGGACGCACATTTTGTAAAACACATTTGGAACTAAGAAACTGTGACTGTACTCATCATTTCCAACAGTCCATTTTATTTGTTTCAATGTCTTTACCGTGAAGTTCAGAATACAAACACAGGAAGTGATTGAGGACCAAAGGGACTACAGTCTCTTCCTCTGGCTCCAACATCAGCCAAGATCTGACCTTGATTCACTGCCTGGAAATGTTTTATCAGTGCTTGTGACAGCTCATTCTGTTTCCAGACCTACCAAACTCTTGCTTTTTATGTTTGTGTTTATCTCTCTGTGCTGGAGTTCTTTTAGGAACTTGATCATTTTATCCACTTTGTTTTTAAATTTGTTATGAGAGAATAGTGTGACGGGAATTTCATGATTCCATCTTTAAGATACTGCCATGTAACTAATCTCACCAGCCTCTTGGGTATGGGGTCAATGTGCATCTTTTTCAAAAAAGCAATTTTTAGTGGTCAAGCATATCGTTTTATCAAATCTGATGTTCATACATTTTGCTCATCAGAAATCAGAAATACTTTATGGACCCCCCGAGGGGAAATTCTGCCCCAATAGGGATGTTACTAAATAATAGAGCCGGAACGATATGGGCTGCTGGGGGCCGAAGCAGATTTTGAAAAAGAGAGAATTTATGATTTTGAAAATTATTTGGATAGTTTCTAAGCTTACAACAGGCCGATATTTAAAGCTGTTCTGTATGTGGGCTATAATACCTTTTCTTAAATGGATTATATTAAAGAGGCGGTTTTATGCTCATTTTCAGGTTCATAATCCTTTTTAGGGGTTGTATCAGAACAGGTTTACATGGTTTCCTTTTCAAAAAACACCATATTTTTTTGTCATACTGCACATTGCTGCAGCTCCTCTTTTCACCCTACAAAACATACATCAATATATTCCATCGCAGTAGGAATGTACTCTCTCTAAAAAAGACACCAGCTTATTCCACAAACTTAGGTTATGGTTAAAATAGCATGATCAGCAGAGGGCATGCCTAGGACACAGAGAGGGGGAGCAGTGCAGACAAAAACAGTCATCAGTGATTATCCTTAATTATTTTAATCTTTTTACCTAGATGTGCCTTGTCTTTATTTTTAAGTGCTGAACTATAGTCATGAATACAGAAACAAGCTCATTAGATCCTTGAGTGGGAGCATTGACTGCAGACACTGACTATGCACGCCTTGTTCAACTCTTATTTACTGTAGATTTATGACTGCAGAAGAGGCTGCAGGAACTGCTCTACTGTGATCTATTGTTGTTATGACTACACGAGGAACTGTTGATGTATTAGTCTGCTGATATTAAGACTACATGTTTAATTACGGCTTAAGGGGTTGATTGTCAACTTCCAATCTCTGATGCTTATAGCCTGTGTGAGCTTTGAATGAACTTGCTGAAGGAATTTTTGCTGACCGTTTTCACAACAGATTGAGGATGATCAGAAAGGTAGCAGATACAGTCAGCACTACATCAAGATTACTGTAAGAAACCAAGCATTAATGAAAGATACAGCATTACCCATGCTATTCTTGAATTAACTTTTTAAGAAATGTAATTGTGTGTCAATTTATGCATGTATAACTTTTAAAAAAATACGGTGAGACTGAAGTAGAAATATAATGGAGAACTTAATATCCGGTAACAAAAAAATATAGAAAAACAGTATTAAATAAACAGCTGGAAAAACTGTTAAATTGGTGAAACAATACGTGTAAGCAATGGCAGCAGAGGATAAGAAGTTCACCATAAGGAGAGGAGGGTGCAAACCAGCCCAGAGGGGGATATATGGCTGTCTGCAGACCACAGGTTTGACTCCATCCTCCCACCTGCAGGGATGTTGTACGGGTTTATCTGTCCTTTATTGTAATAAACTCTTTTGTGCCGATCTCTGTGAAACTTTTGTGCCGAGCTCTGTGAAACTTTTGTGCCGAGCTCTGTGAAACTTTTGTATTCTATTGTATTGGTGTTACTTTTTGTTGGTAATAAAAATGTTGGGAAAAATTCAAGCTTTCTTATCTGGCCCAAGTCTTGAATTTTTTACACGACACATTGTTTTTACATATGTGAAACACCGACTCAACATTAATCTCAGTGACCTCCGATTGGCGTAACCGGGAGTCATTACTGCCAACGTGAATAACAATCTTACTGTATTTACGTTTATCCTTAGCCAGCAGTTTCAAATAAGACTATGTCGCCCGCTCTGGCCCCAGGGATGCACTTAACTATAGCCGCTGGATTCACTAACTTCACGTTTCTCAAAATGGTTTCTCAAAGTAGGAGAGCGAGAGGGAGAAGGAGAAGCCATCGCTAACCGTCCTCGAAAACCACTCTAAATTAAATCCACAATAGCTTTTACCAGCAGTTTGAGTGATGACAATATCCCTTGGCTAGTGGGCACTGAGACACTTTAATTCCAGTTTGTCCTTCAAATCAAGGGTCTCAAACCTGTGCTAAAGTATGAAATACACTCAGTTCTGTCTCATGTTAGCTGGCTTAAGTATAGCTAAAGAAAGCTTCCCTTACTCTTCTTGCCGACTAATGTTGGCGCTGGACAGACAGCCAATCAACTCTGAGACATGAAATTACGCTGTAGTGGGGCTACGGGCAGTTAGCCGCACTTGTCATTAAATTTGTGTGATCTAAACTGAATTCAGAAATACTCTGAGCATGCGCATTACAATTTTCCCAAGTACAATGTATACCTGCGACAGAGGGGCTAGCCCCACACTCATGCTACGGCATACGGACACCAATCGGGAGAACGTCGTCTGAAGCAGCAAGGCAGGGAGGAATCTATGAACATGGAATTTAATCCTAACACAAAGAAATTAAATTTAGGAAGATGCTATATTTATTTATAGGAAATATTTTATAATAATAATAATAATCTCTTTTAAATAAAAACATAATTGGTTTGCACAGTTATTTTTGTTCTTGTTTGGCTATGCCCCATCTGCCCCAAATGACCAGTCGCCATTGGTTATAACTATTGGCAGAGCCGTTATGGCTCTAACTACAAGGTTTCAACTCTACGTCGTCACACAGGAGAGGAGCTAGACAACTTAGTCTTACATGTCCGCTCTGGTTTAATTATTTCCGACACACGGTGGAAATGCACACAACAATGGGCTGAAGGAGCCTTTAGGTTCCTTGAAAAGTAGTGGAAACACGGCTATAGTGGTCGCCTGACGCTGCTTTACCACGGGTTGCAAATGCATGGAGCGAACTATAGAATTATTTTGCTTACGTAGCAGACAGTGAGAGCAAGCCCAGATGTGGTCCATCTTGGCAAAGCATCTCGCCATCAGGTATGCTGACTTCAAAGAAGAGGTGAAAGGATTCAAAGAGCGACGGGTTAGAGAACCCTCAAATATCAGTCAAACGAGTGTTATTTATTGTGTGACAAAGAAACATTTTTTTTAACAGTTTGACGAGCAAATAAGGGCAATGTTAACAGTTTAATGTGGCTTTAGCTTTTTGGCTGGCTTACCAATGTGGCATACACCTGTATATGCAAACCCACCGTTTACACTGGTAACATTAACTTCACCATAACTTGCAAGCTGCTGAAAATCTTGTGTTATCTGGTTTTACATTACAAGACGCTGACACAGTGAATATTTTACAAGCACAGGGCAACAGTGAACCCACCAGTCAAGATGTCATTTAGTACCAGCTCTATGAAATACATGATTAACAACAATCAACACGTGGCAGTCAGCGTTGATATTGTAGCAGGCCGCCACAAATAAATCATGGGGAACATTAGAAGATTATGAGCAGGGCTTTGGCCTGGTGGTGGGACAAAAACTGTATTTCTTCTTTAGCCAGTTTAACTTTGTCGCTTCAAGTTGAGAAATACACTTTTTAAAATGCAGTTTTTTGTACATTTTCCCTCATAATCAAGCAAGTAGACTCACGGTGCCATATTTGTTACCATTATATCACAAATGGCAATATGACTTTTTCTCCAAATCGAGCGGGCCAATGTGTACTTCAATACTGTACTCAAGTAAAGTACAAGTTTGAAGTACTTTTGCATGTTATGAAACTTCATACTTTTAATTCACCACATTTGTCTGACAGCTTTAACGCTAGTTACTTTTAGATCAACATTAAAAAGGTATGCATTGTTGAGGATGAGGATCATGTACAAACCTTGCCTTTTGCAGATATTGGTTGTTCATTGTTGTTATTTTTTTATTCTGTCGAATATACCCCTTCCCATTGCAATATTTATGCACAAAAGAAACCACATGTAAAATCTGCCACGCTGTTCTTTCTCTGCAAATAGTTGCATTATTTTTCTCTATTCTTTTATTTTTCTTATATAACTTGCATTTGTTTATTCGTTATATTTCTACATTTATTTATGTCAACTGTAGGTTTGTCTACGTGTAGGACCTTATCACCAAAGCAAATTCCTCGTACGTGTAAGATAGTACTTGGCAATAAAGCTTTTCTGATTCTGAAGATGAAACAACTCAACATGATATAAAGGAAATAAATGAGCTCCAGTAAAATACAAAGTAAAGTGCACAAACCTGCTCTGTGTAACCGGACTTCAGGGTCTAAAACAGCGTCCAGTAGTTTGCGTTGTCCACAAAGCTTTATAAAGCCAACAGCCCGGAGTCTATTCAGGCAGCTCTATCTGGACATTTTGGCTCCGTGAAAAACAGTTTGGTCTCTATGGAAGCTGCTCCGACTGTGAGGCCGAGCTCAAATTACATTACAAGACGCAGACTACTTCCTGCTAGCGATGAGTCTGAAAGTTTAAACAGAGTCCACTTAAACACGTTTATCCTCACATGCAGGCTCTGCTGCTGAACTCCGGCTGCATCTCACGACGACGCACGTGGTATGTAACGGAAAAAGTTGGCACTTACTT